GTGGAGCCGCTCGGGGCCTCGAACCGCGTGCCTTTGGGATTTACAGTGCAGGTTCTTGCCACTAGGCTGTCAGAACGCCCTAAAAATCACACAGCCCAATTTCAAATGCCACCAAGTTGCTCATATATTTTCTGAGGTTGTTTCTTCATCTTTTTTCACTTTTGTTATTTTTTGTTGGGTCTCAATGCAATTTAATAAATATTTTACAATGAATAAACTGCAGAAAGGATTCTGAATGCTATCTTGAAAGAAGGATATATAGAACAGAGTATGAAAGTGTATTTGAAAGATAGTCTTGGGGAGAAAAAATTATTGGAAAATTCTTTGGAAGATTGTCTTTTATAGTGTTAGTTAAGGCAGTAATTACTAAATTACTGCAGGAAGATATGGGCTCTAACTATATGAAAGAAAGCTTCTTTGGGAGAAAAGGTACTGGTTTTACATGAAAAATAAATGAAGCACCAAACAATGAAATGTTTCTGTCAGGAAGACACAGCCACTTTGCTAAGTAAGGATCTGTAACTCCACTTTTCACATTATTAAGCCTTCTTCCTGTGATGCTCTAAATACCTACATATAAAATCACTCTCGTGTCTTCCTTGAAAATAACGTTTATATCCTTATTATGCTTTTAAACACTGCTTTTAACTACCTATGCTTAAGTAATTTGCAATGTGATGTTAGAAATAAAGAAATCTTGAACTCTGAAAGAGATGTATATTTCTATAAGGGAAGCTCTGCTGGCCTAGTGGTAAGAGGCACTGCTGCAGTCCTGAAGCACATAGTTCAAATCCACCAGCTGCTTCAAAAGAGGATGGGCCATCTCCTCCTGTGCGATTAACTGCCTCTGAAAATCCACTGGATTTCTATGGGTTGGTTCCAACTTGATGATAAACAATAACAGCATATTTCCATAATGATTTCAAAATATTAACTGTACTTCATTATAATCTATAAATCACTGAAAAACTGTTCTATGGAAAAGATGTCTGAACTATGAGAAATGTGTCGAGTGTGTGGTAACCATTCCCTTCAGAGAGTTATGGGCCTGCAAAACATGAAAAAGAAATCTTACACGAAGCAAAACTCAGTAATCAACCTTCACATGTATACATGTCACTTAGAAATCCCCTTATTTGACAAAACAAACAAACAATACACCCCATCAATGCTATCGAGGAACCTGACCCTCTAGGGATCTCAGTACTGCTGTGTAAATGCCCATATTTCTCCCTCAGATTTCCTGATGGATTGGCCTCATCAGAGAGGTGCCCCCTTTGTGTTACCAGCACAACTGCCCTTGGATTACAAAATAAATTCATTTTGATTGAGCATAATATCATTTACTCCTTATTTCATGAAGTCAAGGTAATAAAATCATATATACACCCTGAATTCTTGGGTTACTCTCTGAGGTAAGATAATAGCAAAAAGTCTCAGATTCTTGCTTTCTCTGATGATTGATTGTGAGACTGCTGAGACACTGTCCACCACAAAGGGCCTCAGACTGAGGCTGTGGGAAATCATGCACACGTATGCAAGTTTGAGTTGTGATCCAAAGTAAAAGATGTTGTT